CACACAGAGCCCCCATGACCCACTCTACATCCCGGTGCTTTTTGGAGGAGGATGGACTGCAGATGATGGGACTTGCAGTACCTTCACTAACTTCCTGAGACCACTGCGAGCCATATAAATAACTGATAAAGACCAAAATTGATACACAATGTCTATCTCAAATAACCCGGGCAGTGCCAGGTTCCCAAGCTAGGATGTAATGTTAGTTTGTGGGATTAACATAACTCAAAAACCACTGGATAAATAGACACCCAATTTGGACACTATACACCTATCAGGCCAATAAGTGACCATCTTCTCTCCTTGATGAAGAGTGAATGGCAGTTGAAACATGAAGAGAAAGTCTCTCATGAGCCATTGGGTTGAGGCACAATACGTAGCTGCTCTTCCCTCCTTGAAGAAGAGTAATGGGAGTTGGAGCATGGAAACAAGGTCTCTCATGATCCATTGGGTTGAGGAACAATGCGTGGCTGCTCTTCTCTCCCTCAGAGGAAGAATGAATGCAGTTAGATCATGAGCCACTGGGTAAAGGCACAATACGTGGATGCTCTTCTCTTCTTGAAGAAGAGTTAATGGGAGTTGGAGCATGGAGAGAAGGTCTCTTATGAGCCATTGAGTTGAGGCACAATACATGGCTGCTCTTCCCACTTTGAAGAAGAGTTAATGGGAGCTGGAGCATGGAGACAAGGTCTCTTATGAGCCATTGGGTTGAGGCACAATACATGGCTGCTCTTCGCTCCCTCAGAGGAAGAATGAATGCAGTTGGATCATGAGCCATTGAGTAAAGGCACAATACATGGCTGCTCTTCTCTCCCTCAAAGGAAGGATGAACGCAGTTGGATCATGAGCCATTGGGTAAAGGCACAATACGTGGATGCTCTTCTCTTCTTGAAGAAGAGTTCATGGGAGTTGGAGCATGGAGACAAGGTCTCTTATGAGCCATTGAGTTGAGGCACAATACATGGCTGCTCTTCTCACTTGAAAGAAGAGTTAATGGGAGTTGGAGCATGGAGACAAGGTCTCTTATGAACCATTGGGTTGAGGCACAATACATGGCTGCTCTTATCTCCCTCAGAGGAAGAATGAATGCAGTTGGATCATGAGCCATTGGGTTGAGGCACAATACGTGGATGCTCTTCTCTTCTTGAAGAAGAGTTAATGGGAGTTGGAGCATGGAGAGAAGGTCTCTTATGAGGCACCATACGTGGCTGCTCTTCTCTCCTTGGTGAAGAGTGAATGGCAGTTGAAGCATGAAGAGAAAGTCTCTCATGAGCCATTGGGTTGAGACACAATACATGGCTGCTCTTCTCTCCCTCAGAAGCCAGAGCAATGGTGGTCGGAGCATGGAGAGAAGGTCTATCACCACGCAGAGATATCTTTAGGAGCTATTAATCCTCAGCTAGATGACCCTTGTAGTCTTTCCTTCCTTCTCTCCTTTGTTCTCTGTACATCAACCTCTTTGCTTCCTTCCTGACTGTTGAGCTACTTCCCCTTCATCTTGATATGAGTTTTCTCCATGTGACTCATGGATGGGGCCCACAGACCATCTCCAGTTCTCAAACCATTAGTTACCAGTCTGAGGAGACACCCATATGGGGACCATTGAGCATGTCCAGGAACCCACCAGTAAATTCTATGGGCATGTTAGGAATGTAGGATTCCTTCCAGAAGCTTCCACTTGCCATGGAGAGCTCAGCATGTTATGAACAGTCGAGTCGGCTCGCTGCCAGCAACCAGGAGTTTTACAGCTTCATGGAACCGCACCCTCGGGCGTCGGCATGCCCAGTTAATGTTCAACCCAATTGGAATCACTCCCGTTGCCTCTTTTGCCCTGCGCCGAAATCTGCTACTCAAAAAAGAGGTGGAAAGTTCAGCTTGCGAGATGAATCATTCCTTGGGTCCCCGAGCGAGAAGGAAAGGAGGGAGGGAAAGCGGTAGAAAGAGGGATAGAAATCTGAGTAGATCCAAAAACTCTTAGATGTTTAGCATTTGGGACTTGTGCAGTGTAATGTGGAGATCACATCCAGACCTGGAAGTTTTGACACGTTCTCTATGAATGTGGCTTGGACCTCTCATTCAAAAACAATGTCCATCTTGGAGAATCACTTGGACTCTAGTTTCTCCACAATGTCCACCTTGAAGGGTCAACTTTGCTTTTAGTTCATGGGGAGTTTCATTCAGCTGCAGGGTTCATCATGGAGAGTTGCCTGGATTACTAGCTTGGCCAGAAGGTACATCTTGGAGAGTCTCCTGGACTTCTCATTTGACTGCAAGGTCCATCATGAGGAGTTCCCTGGACTTCTTGTTTGGCCAGAAGGTTCATCTTGGGGAGTCTCCTGGACTTCTCATTTGACTGCAAGGTCCATCATGGAGAGCCACTTGGAGATCTAGTTCAGCCATAGAGTCCATCTTGAGTCACCTGGATTTCAGATGCAATGTCCCTCTTGGGTGGTCATCTGATATTCTAGTTTGGTCGCAAGGGAATCATCTGGATTTCTCATTTGGCTACAGAGTCTGCCTTGGGAAGTCACTTGGATTTCTCATTTGGTCACAAGGTCCATTATGGAGAGTCACTTGGGCTCTAGATTCTCCATGGTGTCCACCTTGAAGTGTCAACTGCGCTTCTAGTTCATGGGGAGTTTCATTCAGCTGCAAGGTCTATCATGGGGAGTTGCCCGGACTTCTCGTTTGGCCAGAAGATTCATTTTGGGGAGTCTCTTGGACTTCTCGTTTGACTGCAGGGTCCATCATGGGGAGCTAACTGGAGATCTAGTCCAACCATAGGGTCCATCTTGAGTCACCTGGACTTCAGCTGCAATGTCCCTCTTGGGTGGTCATCTGGTATTCTAGTTCAGTCACAAGGAAATCATGAGAACTTCAAATGAGAAATCCAGATGATTCCCTTGCGACCGAACTAGAATACCCAAGAGAGACACTGCAGCTGAAGTCCAGGTGACTCAAGCTGGACCCTATGGTTGGACTAGATCTCCAGGCAGCTCCCCATGATGGACCCTGCAGTCAAACGAGAAGTCCAGGAGACTCCCCAAGATGAACCTTCTGGCCAAACGAGAAGTCAGGGCAACTCCCCATGATGAACCCTGTAGCTGAAGGAAACTCCCCATGAACTAGAAGCGCAGTTGACACTTCAAGGTGGACACCGTGGAGAATCTAGAGCCCAAGTGACTCTCCATCATGGGGAGTTGCCCGGACATCTAGTTCAGCCATAGGGTGCATCTTGAGTCACCTGGAACTTCAGCTGCAGGGTCCATCTTGGGTGATCATCTGGTATTCTAGTTTGGTCACAAGGAATCATCTGGATTTCTCATTTGGTTACAGATTCTGACTTGGGAAGTCACTTGGATTTCTCATTTGGTCACAAGGTCCATCTTGGAGAGTAGACTTGTGCGTGGAATTTGTTTCTTCCGTTTCCTACATTTCTTTCGGCACTTTCGGTACTTCGGGAGCTCGTAACAATAAGGGTTCTCCTGGTACGAAAACCCACCCAACACGAAAGCAAGCAGAAGCTGATCTCAGCTCCATCTTTACTTTTCGACATCCTAATTTTTTTTATTAATCCCCTAGCAAACAAAAAGAAAACCCTCATTTCCTGAAAACTACTCTCTTCTTCCGGGAGGTCATCACCCTTCCTTACCTGGAAGTGGGAAGCCTCCTTAAAATGCCTTGGAAAGAGTATGTGGCTGCTGGCGTGGTGCAGCCTGGGAGAGAAAGCGTGTGCGCCTGCCTTCTGCCGAGCACCTCCTCTAGAGTAAGAAACAGAGAACTTGCCTTGGAAAGAGCGCCTCTCTGTCTCCTCTAGAGTAAGAAACAGAACCTGCCTTGCCTCCTTGCCTTGGAAAGAGTGCATGTAGCATACAGGCCCAGAAAGCGCATGCATCTGCCTGCATCCGAGCGCCTCTCTGTATCCTTTAGAATAGAAACAAGTTAGAAACAAGCCTCCTTAAAGCGTGCACCTGCCTACAGCTCAGTGCCTCTCCTCTAGAGTAGAAACAGCTTAAATGCCTAAAATCACAGGATGGGGAGCCTGGGAAGCCCTCCCCCCACCTGATTTGTCTTCCTAATTTCAGGAGGCTTCCAAAAAACAGATCAGAGCCCCCACCAAAATCCAAGACGCAAAACAGGTCAAGGTTTACCCCGAATGCACAAGCGTATTGGAGAGTCACCTAGACTTTGAGTTTGGCCACATTGTCCATCATGAGGAGTTCTAGTTCTCCATCTTGGAGAATTCCTGGGATGTCCAGTTCCGCTACAGGGTCTTCCTTTGGGAGTCTGCCTAGACTTCTAGCTTCTCAACTGTTTGGTGGTCATGTTCTTTGCCAGCTAAGTCTTAGGAGATGGATAGTGCTTGGGGAGGTGGATGGGGAAGATGGGCAGGGGCGGCTCGTCCATTACGCAAAGTAAGCGGTTGCGGTACACTTTTTTTGCCAGGGGCGCAGAGGCGCCTCTGTAAATATCCCTCGACCACCATTGAGGAGCGCCCTCTCGGCTCACAACATCCCTAGCAGTCCGGAGGGAGCCTCGGCTTCCATGCCTCACTGCCGGGCAATCCTCTTCCCAAAGGGGCCGGGCCCTTGAGCCTCACCTAGCCCCTCTCGTTCCTGCTCCATATCAATGATTGGTGGGGGGGGGGCACCAAAATGCTTACCGTTTGCTTACCTAGGGCCGCCTCTGAAGATGGGCATCCCTTTGGCAAGGATCTCTCAGGGATTGCGGCCAACTCCATCTGCCCCAGGCGGAGACCTCTCCAGATAGGAACCAGATGGTGCGCCTAGTTTGCGCACAAAGGCCCTCAGATCAAAGGCACTTGCAGGCAGCGGTGGGGTTATGGAAAGAATGTGGAAAGAGGGAGGAAAAACATATTTGAAAAAGGAGCACTTTAGAGCAGGAAACTCATGCAAGCTCCAAAACAAAAAACGGAAAATGTACACTTATTCCATCTTGGGATAGGACTCATAACGCTCAATGTCTCTTTCACTTTTCAGGTACAAACCGGATCCAGACCACCGCACCAAGATGCCGTCCCAGTTAGAACACGCCATGGAAACAGTCATGCTGACGTTTCATAAATTTGCAGGAGACAAAAACTACCTAACTAAAGAAGACCTGCGGCAACTGATGGAGAAGGAGGTCCCGGGCTATATGGAGGTGAGACTGCCTCGCAAATGGGGTTTAGATGATTCGGAATGGAGATAATGGAGATAAAATGCAAGCTAAGTTCTCCAACGGTTTGTCATTGGTTGCAAGCAAGAGTCTCCAAACTATCTTCAAGGGATGTCCCATCTAGACGTCTCTCTGCTCCATACTCCACAGGTTGAGCAATTTTTATTTTTGAGAGAAGACTGAGGCAAAGAAGGTGTTGAACAGCTTTGCCTTTCCTCTGTTCTCTCTTATCCTCTTGTGCTTCCTTTTGCTATGGAAGCCTGTCTCTCTCTCTCTCTCTCTCTCTCTCTATATATATATATATATATATATATATATATATATCCATTAGTAGCTAGAATGGAGCCAGGCTTGATTACTACATCTCCATAGCAAAAGGAAGCACAAGAAGATGATATGGATGGTGGGGTATTGCTAAGAGAGGACAGAGGAAAGGCTGCTTATAACAAAACACCTCACACTGTTCACCAAATACATAATAACACAGCGAGAGTAATAGAGAAGAGAAGATTTTCAATTAATTTATTTGTAGACGGGGAAATATATATAATAAAATAAATCCCAACACTGCTCAGACTAAAATGATGAAGCTCACAAAAGGTAGAGGGAGTATGGTTGTTGAACCAACTGTATATGTTAAAAGCTAGGGACTGGGAACCACTAGAACTGAGAGACTTAAAATGATTCTTCAAAAGATTTCCTCTGCCACCATTCCTATACTAATCAGGCTGAGGTAATATTGAGAATTTGTTCAGTAACACTCACTGTGCCACTATAGTTTTTTAGAGACTGCTGTGAAGCTGACTTTAGTAATTTGCTTTGACCACAAAGGTATTCACACTGAGGCTGGTATAAGTTGATAAAAATAACAAGAACGTTTATTGAACAGGCTTGAATAATTCAGGTACAAATGCTTAATGGTTTCAGTAAAATACTGGCATAAAAAGCTTGTGGTTGCATTAGAGTCAAGATCTTAAAAACTTCTGGGTTACAAGTCTTCAAAGTTCCTCCACAGAAAATTACTTCAGGAAATGAATCTCTGAAAGTATCTCCCAAAAATGCCCCTTGGGAATCTAGCCAAAAACCCTGAACTAGACTTCCTTAGGAATTGAACAGACCACTAACAAGGTACTGCTCCACACAGTATTCTAGCTATATTCTCAATAGCTACTCTGAATACTTCACAAAAGACTGACCCAATTTTCTTCACTAAACCCAAACTCGTTCTCACTAACACCAACACTTCTTCTCTCTAACAGTTCCCAACTCCAACTGACTAAAATCTTCCTAACCAATCCTAGCCTTCTAACTTTCCCTCCAAGATTTGAACACACCCCCTCAAGGCAAACCTAAACTAAGATGGCTTCTCCCTGTCTCCCTTCTCTAAAATGGATGCCGTGGCTTCACCAGGCCCACTCCCTTAAGGTATCAGGCAGCTAGCTAAGGTAAGGGATTCATTACACTGCTCAACACCTTCTTTGCCTCAGTCTTCTCTCAAAAAAATAAACATAACTTAGTGAACCCCCTAATGGGAGATAGTGGCGGGGTATAAATAAAGTTTATTATTATAAGAAGCTAAGTATATAATGTCATATTTTTTATTATTTGTGGTTCCCGTTCAGAACCGGAAAGACCCCATGGCCATCGACCGTATCATGAAGAACTTGGAAGAGTGTCGGGACGGAAAAATCACCTTCGAGGGGTACCTCTCCCTGTTCGCCGGGCTCACCAACGGCTGCAACGAGTATTATGTGAAGAAGATGAAGCCCACGGGGAAGAAGTACTGAAGCGAAAGGAGATTCCTTCCTCCCGCGGAGCTGAGGGTGTGCCAGTTTTGCCCCTAAGGAGTCTTCCAGTCTTCTGGATCCTACTGGAACCAAGCCTGCTTGAGCTTCAAAGTGCCACATCCCTGTTTCCGACCTAACAATCGAGAAATGACCAAATCCTTAATGAGACCTTGTCCTCGGCCCTTTTCCCAGAATCCTTTTCCCAAAATGTTAGCGACCCCCAAACTATTCCCATTGCTGGTGCTGGCTTTTTTTTTTTCCCCGCATGTTCTTAATTGTGAAATAAAACATTTTTGTTTGTTTGTTTCCTACTACGTGGTATTTGTTTTCCTGGAACAAGAATGCTAGAGTTGGAAGAAACCACAAGGGCCATCCATTCGTTTGGAGTAGCCAGATATTCCTCTTTACCTATGCAATGCTGCATTTCCCCTATTGGTCATATTGTAATATCCTTGGATGTATCTCATCTGATCCTGGAGACTTGAGTTCATTTAGATTAGCCAGATATTCCTGCACTGTCTCTTTTCCTGTTCTGTCCTGCCTTTCTCCATCTTCTACTCCATCCTCCCCAGGTTGAGCAATGCTTATTTTTTGAGAGAAGACTGAGGCAAAGAAGGTGTTGAGTAGCTTTGCCTTTCCTCTGTCCTCTCTTAGCATTTCTCCACTATCTGGAAGCTGTGCTCAACGTTGGCCATGGGGGGGGGGGGGCACTATTGTTCCATTTTCCATGCTGAGGAGCTTGTCCATGGACACCTTCCTGATCGAATAGCTGGTGTGTCTTCAAGGGCACCTTTTTACTTTCCCACCAAAGTGGCACCTATTCATCTACTCACATTACTGTTTACAAACAGCTAAGTAAGCAGAAGCTAGGGCTGATGGGAAGAGAGGTACAAGTTTCATTCACACCGAAGCTTCTCATACCAGGTCTGAGGCCTTTCTCCCACTGTGGCCTTCCCACACTGAGACTTCTCACACTGAGACAAACTAACACTGAGGCCTACTAAGCTACAGGCACTCTGAGGCCTTTCTCCCACTGAGGCCTTTCCACACTGAGATCTCTCACAGACTGTCGCCTCTCTCACACTGAGGCAAACTAACACTGAGGCAAACTAACACTGAGGTGAACTAACACTGAGGCCTACTAAGCTACAGGCACTCTGAGACCTTTCTCCCACTGAGGCCTTTAAACACTGAGACCTCTCACAGACTGTCGCCTCTCTCACACTGAGACCTCTCACAGACTGACACCTCTCTCACACTGAGGTGAACTAACACTGAGGCCTACTAAGCTACAGGCACAGTTGCTTATATTGAACTACAGCTTTTGCTGAGTCACTGCATCCATTTAACCCTTTCAGTGCTTAACTCAATTTTTTGTAATTAAAAATCCTTAGTTAATGTTTAGTATTTCTGACAGCCATCTGCTTGCTTTCTCCCCTTGACTGCAAAGTGGTACCTATTCATCTACTCACATTACTATTTACAAACTACTAAGTAAGCAGAAGCTAGGGCGGATGGGAACAGAGGTACAGGCTTCGTTCACACCAAAGCATCTCGCACCAGGCCTTCCTCACTCTGCGGCCTTTTTCCACTGAGGCCCTTCCACACTGAGACCTCTCACAGACTGAGGCAATCACATTACTATTTACAAACTGCTAAGTAAGCAGAAACTAGGTCTGATGGGAACAGAGGTACAGGCTTCCTTCACACCGAAGCTTCTCACACCAGGCCGTCCACATTCTGAGACCTTTCTCCCACTGAGGCCTTCCCACACTGAGACCTCTCACAGACTGAGGTAATCACATTACTGTTTACAAACTGCTAAGTAAGCGGAAGCTAGGGCTGATGGAACAGAGGTACAGGCTTCCTTCACACCGAAGCTTCTCACACCAGGCCTTCCAAATTCTGAGGTCTTCCCATACTGAGACCTCTCACAGACTGAGGCAACCGAACACTGAGGCCTACTAAGCTACAGGCACAGCTTCATATATCGAACTACAGCTTTTGCTGAGTCACTGCATTCATTTAACCCTTTCAGTGCTTAACTCAATTTTTTGTATTTAAAAATACCTAGTTAATGTTTAATATTTCTGACAGCCATTTGCTTGCTTTCTCCCCTTGACTGCTAAGTGATACCTATTCATCTACTCACATTACTGTTTACAAACTGCTAAGTAAGCAAAAGCTAGGGTGGATGGGAACAGAGGTACAGGCTTCGTTCACACCGAAGCTTCTTACACCAGGCCTGAGGCCTTTCTCCCACTGAAGCCTTCCCACACCGAGGCTTCTCACACTGAGACAAACTAACACTATAGAAGCTAGGGCTGATTGGAACAGAGGTACAGCTTCATTCACACCGAAGCTTCTCACACAAGGCCTGATGCCTTTCTCCCACTGAGGCCTTCCCACACTGAGAATTTTCACACTGAGGCCTACGGAGCTACAGGCACTCTGAGACCTTTCTCCCACTGTGGCCTTTCCACACTGAGACCTCTCACAGACTGATGCCTCTCTCACACTGAGGCGAACTAACACTGAGGCGAACTGATACTGAGGTGAACTGAGGCCTACTAAGCTACAGGCACTCTGATGCCTTTCTCCCACTGAGGCCTTTCCACACTGAGACCTCTCACAGACTGACACCTCTCTCACACTGAGGCAAACTAATACTGAGGTGTACTAACACTGAGGCCTACTAAGCTACAGGCACTCTGAGGCCTTTCTCCCACTGAGGCCTTCCCACATTGAGACCTCTAACAGACTGATGCCTCTCACACTGAGGTGAACTAACACTGAGGCCTACTAAGCTACAGGCACTCTGAGGCCTTTCTCCCACTGAGGTCTTCCCACACTGAGACCTCTCACAGACCGACACCTCTCTCACACTGAGGTGAACTAACACTGAGGCAAACTAACACTGGGGCCTACTAAGCTACAGGCACTCTGAGACCTTTCTCCCACTGTGGCCTTTCCACACTGAGACCTCTCACAGACTGACACCTCTCTCACACTGAGGTGAACTAACACTGAGGCGAACTAATACTGAGGTGAACTAACACTGAGGCCTACTAAGCTACAGACACTCTGAGGCCTTTCTCCCACTGTGGCCTTTCCACACTGAGACCTCTCACAGACTGACACCTCTCTCACACTGAGTCGAACTAACACTGAGGCCTACTAAGCTACAGACACTCTGAGGCCTTTCTCCCACTGAGGCCTTCCCACACTGAGACCTCTCACAGACTGACGCCTCTCTCACACTGAGGTGAACTAACACTGAGGTGAACTAACACTGAGACCTACTGAGCTACAGGCACTCTGAGACCTTTCTCCCACTGAGGCCTTCCCACAGATTGAGGCAACCACATTACTGTTTACAAACTGCTAACTAATCAGAAGCTAGGGCTGATGGGAACAGAAGTACAGGCTTCCTTCACACCAAAGCTTCTCACACCAGGCCTTCCAAATTCTGAGGGCTTTCTCCCACTGAGGCCTTCCCACACCGAGACCTCTCACAGACTGAGGCAATCACACTATTGTTTACAAAGCTTCTCACACCAGGCCTTCCTCACTCTGAGGCCTTTCTCCACTGAGGCCTTCAACACACTGAGACCTCTCACAGACTGAGGCAAACTAACACTGAGGCCTACAAAGCTACAGATACGACTGCTTATATTGAACTACAGCTTTCACTGAGTTATTGCATCCATTTAACCCTTTCAGTGCTTAACTCAAATCTTTGTAATTAAAAATACTTAATTAATGTTTAATATTTCCGACAGCCATCTGCTTGCTTTCTCCCCTTGGTTGCAAAACATTTGACTTTTTGCAGCAACGGAGGACAAAAGGGGGAAAGCGGGAGGAAGGGAGGGAAAACGGGACATTTTAATAGCAGTTTGGAACATGGGACAGCAAAGGATTAACTGGGATTAATTGGAGTATTTGGAGGATTAGACAAAGTCGCCAGTTTGGGATTGGGTCATTGACACAACGTCCAGGAACACAGGAATGCAAAAGACACACACATTCCTCTATTGATCTCAGGCCAAAGGAATGTTATCCTGGAATGGAAAGAAAGGGAAACCGAGCCGGGAGGTGTAGTTTACATATTTGTATTTGCCCGACAAGGTGACCGTCATCTTGGAGGCGCTACAGCTCCCAAGATCCCAGTGTGGGGAGGAGGAAACCCACTTCCCGTTCTGCTCCACGTTGGCTGGGGAAGTGCCCGGTTGTGAACATGGGTGTGTACTTGTGAGTGTGCGTTGTCGCCGACGGATTTGGTTTGTGGTTCCGTCACCAAGGCAACCTCCAATATTTTTGGCAAAACACTCCGTGCTGCAACCGCAGGGGTGAGTCATGCCAACGGCGGCCAAGAAAAAGCAGGGCGGGGTGTGAGTCCAAGGGTGCATCTGCACTGCGGAATTAAAGCAGTTTGGCACCACTTAGCTGCCACTATTACCAATATTATTGACGTTATCGGTCACTACAACCACCTACAGACCCAATGCCAAGACCCTACACTTGGAAGTCAATCATACTCAGACACCAGTGATGATCACTGATTATTATTATTATTATTATTATTATTATTATTATTATTATTATAGTAGTAGTAGTTTGAGTCCAAAATGCATAAGGTTGTGGGTGAACTACAACTCCCATCATGCCAGGTTAACTCCCTGAACCTCCATCAATACTTAAAGTTTGTGATGTAATTGTAATTGTACCAAATGCATAAGGTTGTGGGTGAACTACAACTCCCATCATGCCAGGTTAACACCCTGAAACTCCATCAATACTTAAAGTTTGTGATGTAATTGTAATTGTACCAAATGCATAAGGTTGTGGGTGAACTACAACTCCCATCATCCCACATTAACCCCCTGAACCTCCATCAATACTTGAAGTTTGTGATATAATTGTAATTGTACCAAATGCATAAGGTTGTGGGTGAACTACAACTCCCATCCTGCCAGGTTAACCCCCTGAAACTCCATCAATACTTAAAGTTTGTTATGTTGGACAGGTTTGCTCTAGATAAATCATTGGCAGGGTTCAGTGTGCTCTCTGGCTGTAGGGTGAACTACAACTCCCACCATGGTGAGTCAGTCCCCTCAAATCCCTCCAGTAGGTTGTTAGTCATGGAGGTTCTGTGTGCCAAGTTGGGTCCAGGTCCATCATTGGTGGAGGTCATAGTATGTCTGGTTGTGGGTGAACTACAACTCCCAGAAAGGAAGGCCAGTACCCCTCAAACCCCTCCAGTAGGTTGAGTTTGTCATGAAGGCTCTGTGTGCCAAGATGGTTCCAGGTC